GATAATTAGAAGAGTCGGGGACATCCAGGCTGGCGGCATTTAAGGTCATATCACACACACCTTAGAGCAGTATTTCCAAAACCAGGTCTGCATATCACTGGTGCTACCCAAGCTGGTGTTAGGGAAAATTAAATTATATATTATATTACATTTGTTATTTTACAGTTGTGTTATTATTTTCAGGTATCTTCTATTTTTGGTATTTGATAGTGGTTTTATGTTTTCAGTGATGACATACACATACTTTGTGAAAATATATTTAAACAAAGATATAATTTGATTTAAAGAACATTTTTAAGGGGTGCCTGGGTGGCTCAATTGGTTAAGCATCCAACTTCAGCTCAGGTCATGACCTCGAAGTTCTTGACTTTGAGCCCCATGTTGGGTTCTGTGCTGACAGCTCACAGCCTGGAGCCTGCTTCAGATTCTGTGTCTCCCTCTCTCTCTGCCTCTCCCCTGCTTGTGTTCAGTCTTTCTCTCTCAAAAATAAAATAAAAACATAAAAAATTAAAAAAAATAAAGAACATTTTAAATTATTGTACATATAGTATACCAATATGCCACAAAAACCAAGTGAGTTGGGTTAGAGAAACCCATAAAGGTAAATCACCTGACAGATGAGAAAGGATGCTCAGCAAAGTAAAATACAAAGTGAAATAACACGGCAGATCTCCCCACTAGGCAATAGTGCAGCTGGGGCTCAGACCAAGTCTGGCATGATGGGCCGCCCCTCTGAGGCCAGGAGGGGAAGGACTGGGCCCAGATCCCAGGGCTCCCCTCAGTGGCTGGTACTGCTCAGCCTTTCGGTCTCCATTGGGCCCGATCCACTGAGGGGGACATCCTCCTGGCTTGTGCCCTCCTCCTGGGCAGGATAGCCCTTAGAATTCTTCAGCAGCTCATTTTCCAATGTGGCCAACAAGCACTTTGGCCTCTCTTGGAAACGTCTCTGGCCTAACTGACTAATTATTAACAAAGAGCCAAATTGTGTACTTGAGTCCTCTAGTGGGGAGGTGAGCGGGGTGGTGGCTTAAAAGTCTGACTTCTAAGTAGGAAACCATGCCTTGGGAATCTTGACAGTTTAGGAAAGATTACAATCAGAATGGAGAAATGTATGAAAATGAAACCATGGCCAAATTGGTTTTTTTGTCAAAACGCCGAATGATAAAATTATTTCAAAAATAAGACCTGGCCAACATTTTATGAGAACCAGATGCCCGAGGGCCTTCCAAGGCCTCTCTACAGCTCAGACCCTGGACCAGGGTTGGGCAGAGGGGCCCAACAGGGAATGGGGAAGGCCTGAACCAGCAGAGAAAATCTAGTTGGTGAACAAACACCTGCCTTCTCTTGGTGGCCTGGAGATCTGGTGAGCTCGTGGCTCTTGAGTACATGAGGCAGTATCTACAGAACCCTGGCTCAGACCTAGATTGCAGTTTTCTATTTGTCATTCACTCACTGTGACATTGATTAATCATTTTCTTCTCTGCACCTCATTTTTTTCATCTGCAAAACAGGGGCAACAATCCCTGCTTCATAGGGTTGTTGTGTAAAGACAGTGGAATATTTTAGTGTCTCTGGGCCACAAGGCCTGGCATGTGTCACTCCCCAGTTTTCCAGGAGTCTTACCTCGTTGCTACCATTAACAGCTGAAACAGTATTTGGCTGATTGGAGAAAGAGTCAGATAGAAATTTGAGTAGCTCACAGAATCAAAAAATGAAAAATCAATTTCTCAGGACACGAACAAAGGCAGTTCCCACAAAAAAAAAAAAAAAAAAAAAAAAAAAAAAAAAAAAAAAAAAAAAAAAACACTTGATAACACTTTTCTCAGGGAGCAGCAATAGAGACACAGTGGGTCAGTTGTTTTCCATCTTTGCATTACCCTGCTCAAGATTCAGATTCCTTGGTGAGCCTGTTTCGTTGGCTTGTGCCATGGGCCCTTGGCCAAGAAATGTTTTCACTGTTTTCTCACAATAATGGAATGCAATATGCACCTGTGTTTTCCCGAAGCAAAATTGCTGTTATTGGAAGTGAGACTGGATATGGGGAATGCAGGAGAAAGGGGTGGGGTGGAGAGGGAGTGCAACCATAAGGTCCTTCCACCAAATGTTAGACCTCTCAGCCCCATCTCCTCTTCTGACTGAGCCACTCCCTTCATCCTGTGTCTCCTGGTCCCAGGCACTCTCTGAGGAGTGTTAAAGCTAATGCAACTACTTGATAATGTTCAGTGTCAAAGACACATCTTTACATTCCCCAAATCCACTCTCTCTCTGGCTCTTCACAGCACACTTTTAAGCTGACAAGGCAGGGAATCAACCCTCCCCCTCCCCATTTTCAGAAGGCTCTGCAGAGAATCAGAAGGGAGAAGTGAGAGTGGCTGATCCCAGGTCATAAACCTGTATCACTTAATAGTAATAGTTTGTCAGTTTATTCTCTTAGGTGTTCTGTGGATATATCTGAAAATAGTAATAGTTCATTTCTTCTAATAACTAAATATTTTATTTTGTTTTTATTTCTTTACATTATGCCAAAATTTACAATAAAAATGACCACTGAAACTCCTATTTCCTAAATTTAACGAGTATGCTGATCATCTCCATTAAGCATGATGTTGGTTGATGTGTAAAGTACTTAAAATAGTATTTGGCATACAGTAAGTGCTACATAAGTGTTATAGAGTAATCATCATCATTCTTTAATATGATCACTACAAATTCTGTGCCTGTCTGCCTCACAAGCATAGGCAATATCTCCTTTACCCCTTCCTTGCCTTGGACTTGGGTGTAGCTAGAGAGTGCATTGGGTTGTAAGGCCAGATGCTTACATATATAGTATAAATTCAATGAATATGCATGCCTGAATGAATCAGTTGAAGGAGTTCTAGTAACTCTTATCTGGGATATGCTGGGCATGAACACAGTAGAACAACAGGATGGTCCTTAAAGTCTGAGGTACAGATGGCCATCATCAACTCTTTCCCCTCTGCATGCATCCAATGTGCCTTACACCAAGAGGTGGACTCTTACCTTATCCCTAGAATCTGGCCTGGCCTTAATGACTGGAAATAACTTTCTTGAACTACTGAAGCTAGGCCAATGATAGGCCTTGCAGCTTCTCTTAATGCACTAACTCTTGGAATACTCATTCTTAGAATGCTCCCTCATGAAATTGAACTGTTATTCTGTGAGAAGCCCAAGCCATATGAAGATGCCATATGTGAGTGTTCCAGTCAAGAGCCCCAGCTCAGATTCCAGGTGACAGTTAACATTAACTTCTAGCTATGTGACAGAGCCATCTTAGGTGTCCTTCCCAGCTGAACTTTCAGATGACTTGTAGCCTGAGCCAACAACTGACTATGACCACATAAGAAACCCCAAGAAAGAACTACTGAACCCAGACAATCCACAGAGCACACACTGCTCCCCCTCTCAGGATCCAGCAGCAAACCCCCAATTCATTGACCAACACCTGATGTCCACAGGGTGGAGAAGTATAGTCTTCCCTCAAAAAGGGTAGCAAGTGTTCAGGAGCAAAGTAAGAAAATAAAGGAAAGTGGCTGGATACAAGATAAACACAACTATAAGTTGCATTTGTATATACTAGCAAGTAACCCTTTATAAAGTGAGTAAGGAACCCATTCACAGTCATAGCAGCAAAAACAAAATATCTAGAAACAACAGTAATGCCTTGGATACATCTCTTTTTTGGTACAATTCCCCAGGGACACTGCAAGAGGTTTTGTAATGAGCTCATTACCAGAGATTGCATATTGGAAAATTTCCAGTGAATTTGCAAATAGGCATACTGCTTCTGCCAAATGACTAAAAGTGTTCTTCTGAACTGTTAAAATTTTACTGTGTATGTGCTGAGGTTGAGATAAAATGGTAAAGTAGGGAAGCTGGTCCTATTGGACTATAATTGAGAAATACTTTCAAGTATGTGCCAACTATAGAAAAACATGAAGTCAGCTGCAAGTGTGGGACTCATTAGGCCTGTGTGTCAGCTCCCATGAGCACAGCTGACCCTGCTGAGCCCTCTCCCTCTCTGGGTGCTCAGCCTAGATCTGGGTGGATGACCCCCCAAGAAGAGGCTAGCAGCCTTCAGGGCAGAGTTCCTGACACAAGGCTTGGCAAGTGCCTCTGATCATCCCTTCTTCCAGAAAGGGATGTTCTTTAATAAACTGTTAAATATTCTTAGATATTCTTTGATAAACCATTACATTCATAAGCAACATGGAGTAAACACCCTAAGATTCTTAACCTTTGGGGGTGAGACTGTTACTAAAGCTGCAAATCTCTCTAGAAGAAGATCCCACTGTGCATAGTACACACAAAATCCTGCATAGTACTCTAGTGGTTGCTGACTCTATGAATCTTGTCCCATAGCTACATAATGAGAAGAGCCTGTAAATTCTAGTGGTTTGTATGACAAGGGGAAGGAAGACAAAGGTGAAAGAGGAATTGTTGTCATGGAAGAAGCTTAAGCATGCCTTCATGGTGTTGGGCAATAATCAATGGAGGGTGGTGAAGTGGGAAAAAAAGTCAACTATGAAGGAAGGAGGCTCCTGAGGCTTCTGAGAGGATGGGATCTAGAGCCCCGGGAGCTGGGAAGCCCCTGGGAGATGGAGGACATCTCTCCTGTGGAACAAAAAGGAAGGAGAGAAGGAGGGAGTGATGGGGCTTCCTTGGTCTAGCCATAGCTAACCTTGTGTATACACTGGCCCTCACAGGCACAGGTTCTTAGGGATGAGTGTCAGAGTGTAGGATGCCATTGCTTCACATGCCATTTACTGAGCATTTACTGTGTGCTAAGTACTATTCTAAGACATGGTCCCTACTCTCAAGGAGTTTGGATAGGACATATAAGTGAGTAAAGTTATGTCAACAAACAGGACAATTTCAGGCACTGCTCAGTGCTGGAAGGAATGGAAAAAAAGAGGGTGGGGAAATCACTTCTAGTTAGTGCCTGGATGAAGCAAGGAGGTTGCCCAAGAGAAGAGCACCACATGGGGCAGACAGTGAGCACAAAAGCCCTGAAAGTGGTTGGGCTCTATGTCTCCAGAGACTATGAGTTCTCCTTGCTGGGTAACTCCTCCCTGACTACCATGGGCCTCATACAGAGTTGGTGCTAAGAGCCATTAATGAATAAATGAATGAAGAAAGGATGATGTGTGCTCCACGGCCCTCTGTGATCTGGGCCATGGATACACCCTGATTCTCATTTACCCCATGTGCACCCTTGTTCACTCAGAAGCTAATGAGACATACTTCTTCCCCAGAGCCTATGTTCAGTTGGCCCTTCCCATAGATGTGCCCTTCCCCCATGTGTATCTTTCCCCTGGGGCGTCCCCTTTCCCAGAAGCACATTGCTCCCTCACCTGCCTTAGGTCTCTGCTCAGCCATCACTCTATCATGAAGCTTCCCTCCACTCCCACCCTGTTTAAAAGGCAACCTCTCGGGGCACCTGGGTGGCTCAGTTGGTTAAGCGGCCGACTTCAGCTCAGGTCATGATCTCACGGTCTGTGGGTTCGAGCCCCGCGTCAGGCTCTGTGCTGACAGAGCCTGTAGCCTGTTTCAGATTCTGTGTCTCCCTCTCTCTGACCCTCCCCCATTCATGCTCTGTCTCTTTCTGTCTCAAAAATAAATAAACGTTAAAAAAATTAAAAAAAAAATAAAAGGCAACCTCTCAGTGCTCCTCTTCCTCTACATAATTTCCCCCACCTCATATACCCTGTAATCTCCATGTGTTTTTTGTTTGTTTGTTTGTTGTCCATTCCCAATCATCAGGTGTAAGCACCATGAAAGTATGGTATATTTTTAGGAACTGTTCTTTGCTGTATCCCCAGTCTGACTGTCTGACACATAGCTGGTACTCAGTGCATACTTATCAAGAGAAAGAATGGATTTTGACATATCTGTCTCCCTTCCCTGACTTTGAACTTCAGGAATGATGGAAACTTGCCTTTTTATCAGAGTCAACACACAGTGGGCACTTGTTTAAATGTTGTTTGAATTCAGTGGCCCATCTGCTGCAGCGTGGAGATACCAATAATTTCATGAAGCTTCAGAAAAACCCTTACAGGAAACTCCCTGCACCAATCGCAAAGCCTCATTCATGCTCCATTAGCAGCATTTCATTAGATGACCTCACTGGGGCTTACTCACTTTGAGCAACAAAAAATTTCACAAGTACACAGTGTCTTCTATCATGGAACTATCATGGGGAACTTAAAAATACAGGAAATTGGGAGCAGCCCTTCCTTGTCCAAACCCCCAGCAACAGGGAACCAAATGCTTTAATCAAGCTCATCGGTAAACCTAGAAGTGGAGAGATGTCTGTCTGTGATCTTAACCAGACCTGGTCTGACAAGGCAGCTTGCCAGAGGACTTGCGAGACCAGGAACACGGTGCCTATGTTCCTGTTTGTTTGCTGTGGGACTTTGTATGTGCAATACTAGTTGCTCCAACAAAGGCCATTGGGGCCCCCATCTGGAACTGAAACCAGAGCCTGCAATCCCTGTGTCTTCTTCCTTCCCTTCCTGACCCATGTTCCTGTTTCCTGGGCCAGCAGGGCCTGCCACGGGTGGCTCTCCTGGTCCTGCCTGGCCTGGCCCTTCTGCAGCCTATGAATGCCCCTTTCCCCTTCTGGTGTGTGGTTGCTTTCAGGGTCTGGAAATGGGGGCCCAGCCTGGGTGCAGGTGGGGACTCCAATTAAACCACCCAGAAGGTAGGTCCTGAGGGCACAGATTCCTGTGCCCCTAGGGTCCCAGGGAGATATCCAAGGGTCTATTAATTAGTTCACTCTAAAACTTATTGAGCACTTCCTACTGCAGGCACTGTGTTGGGTGCTGGAGATATAACAGTGAGCTGGTGAACATCTATTTCTAGACTGTGTATGGAGACTCTTTAACTGATATGCCCTCAAGTGCATGCTATTGGACAACTGAACACCTGCTCTTGCCTGCATCTCTCCTCAGTCTATTGCCATGCCTCTCCAGGGTAGCTCTCTTGGAAGCAATGGCTCCAGGACCCTACTGCTGTGTTCTGTGACTCCATCACTCCTCTCCTGGGGGACAGGGAGCTAGAGAGTTGCATGCATGCTCTCAAATCCTTCAGTCTCCAAGTGACGTTTCTGTTCCCAGCCATTGGCTAGAAGAGTGGGGCTGACTTGGGGACGTGGGAGTTGCAAATGGGGATCTGGGGGTGGTGGTGCATAGATATTTGGAGAGTAGCAAAATGTCTCAGGCACTACCTCTTCCTACAGAATAAATATTCCATAGCATGGGGGTTTGTGAGGAAGAAGGGTAGAGTTATACTCACCAGAGAAATTCTCAAAGGTGATGGGCTGCTCCCAAACAGTACCTGAGTCATCATGCCTGGGGTGCCCTGAGGAAGAGCCCAAGGAGATAGACTGTCATTAGCCTCTGAGCCATCCACTGGTATGGCCAGCATGCTGTCCACAGACCTTCTAGCCAAGTAACTCCTTTGTGTGGGGTCAGGCCCCCCACCTGACCGCATACAACTGGCTGATTCCTTTCAGCATTCCAAGACCCCATAAATAGCAGTATATGTGGGGGGTGGTGGGGAGCCCTCAGTACCCGAGTAAGGTGAGCTTGTGCTAGACCTACCTGGGGTGAATTACTCTGCCCAGCACAGACTGTGGTGGCAATCAGCTAATGAGTGGGAATTGGGTGCATTGAGACCAGCTCTGCAAAGGGAGGGGACATGGTGCTGTGAAAGGGAGAAGTCAGAGAGGACCACTGTGACCTAAGAGTTTAACAGAAAAAGAGGGCAAAGGTAGTAGGAGAGCACACTCAAGGGACTGAGAGGAACATAAATTAAGGTTGTGTAGGCAACCAGAGCGAGTGAGTTGTTGTCGTGTCCTGGACACAGGCTCATGCAAGAGTCCTTGAATTGGGAATGTGACTGGCATGTGACTGAGAGACAAGCAGGGGACAGAAAGGAGAGAAAGCAGCAGAGCAAGCTTGCTTCTGGTTGCTTGATCCCATGGAACGTTCAGCAATGCATCTCAGATTTGTCTTTCAGGGGAGGGGAATCAAGGGCTTCTTCATGGGACATGGAGAGCCCTCATGTCTGGATTGCCCACCAACCCTTAGCCAACTGTCTGGGAGCCCCCAGGTGGGAGGTGGGAGGTGTTGACAGCCTTTCCTGATTGCAATGCTGCCAGCACTCACAAAGAAACAAGAGGAGGCCACGTCCAAATGGGCAAACATTGTGATGCTTGCTTAACAGAGCACCTTCTATTTCCTACTCTGACAAATATATTTCCAGAATGATCTGGAAGGCCAGGTTTGAGTGCAAGCTCTTAGGCACTCACAGCACCCCATGCCTTCAGGGGCCCTTAGGAGAAGCTTGGAGTTGATCTGCATGGAACTGGGCCAGTTCTGTGTGGACCTTTGTTTTTACTTTCCTTTATTTTAACTTTTAAAAGAAGTTACAGAGGGTCGCCTGGGTGGCTCAGTTCATTAAGTGTCTGACTCGTGACTTCAGGGCAGGTCATGATCTCATGGTTTGTGAGATCAAGCCCAGCATTGGGCTCTGTGCTGAGTGCTGAGGGGGGAGCCTGCTTGAGATTCTCTCTCTCTCCTCTCTGTCCCTCTCCTACTCATATGTGCATGTACATGCACGCTCTCTCTCTCTCTCTCTCAAAATAAATAAACCTAAATAAATAAATAAATAAATAAATAAATAAAAGAAGTTACAGAGAACTTTGGTTGAAAGACATCCTTCAAATCCTTCTTCTCATTGGAGAACCCCTTTCACTGTTTTGGACATTGAACAGCCAGGCACCCACCTGGTGAAGGCATTCTCTGTTACTAGTATTGAACATAATTTGGCCGCTTATATTTGATAATTATGTAAGTTTACTTTGATGCATTCATTACTTTTAATTGCTGTCTCTTTATCCCAACTGTAATTAGTGAACAATACCTTAATTCTCCAATATTTTTAGAATCTTCCTTGATTACACATTGAATTGGAATGTTCTCACCATCTCGTTCCACCCCATTGTTCTGTGTGGGGTTGAATAAGCCTGCCAGAATCTTAGCCCACCTTCACAGTGCCTCCAGCGCTCCAGTGGGCATTGGGGGGCTCACAGGGTCTGTCAGGGGCATGCCCCTTCTAGGCCAGATGGGGTTGATGTGGTCTCGGCCCACTGGGCCTGGGAGAGGCCAGAACCTCTCAGAACTTTTGCATGATGGGGGGTAATGTCTTCTGTGACTGGGAGAAACACCATCTTTTCATCATACCTGTCCACTTTGTTCTGCAAAAACAAAAACTCATCTTCATGCATGTGTGTTACTATAAAGGAAATTTAGTGTAGGGAACCATGCACCCCATATCTTGTGCTGGACTGGGGCAAAACGGGGGACTACTTTGGACTCGAGGAAAGGGGAAAAAGAGGGTCTTGAGGACACCTTCTGCTTAAGGGGCTACCTCTAGGGGGGGTCTCCATTCCTATATGTGGGGTAAGGAAGCACCAAAGTTAGCCTGAATCTGCTTTTGGAGATTTTCTAGTTCCTTGGTAAAAAACAGATTCAGAGTGCCCGCCTGCCTCTCAGCATTCCTGCTGAGGAACTGGCAACCGGCAAGGCTATGAATAATTCCCTTGGTTGCTGTAGCAACAGAGATTTCCCAGAAGCATAATCGGCAAGAGTGAGGTCGGGTTTGCTTTGTTGTCCAAAGCAGGTAACAGAACAGAACAACCTGCTTCTGCTGCACGCTGGATCACATCTACCTGGTGGCCTCACCTCAGTTCCTGCCTGGACTCTGTCCTTGCCTTCCCTTCATCTTCACCTGCATGTGGCATTAGATCATTTGAAAACACTGCAACCAGTGCTTTTAAACCAAGGAGTTTCTCTACTCCAGTCAAGAAAAGGCTGGGCAAATAGCCCAGAGCTCAATGCCGTGGTCAGGGATCCTGCTCTGGCACCCCAGGCAGGCGCCCTGTCCCTCCTGGTGGACAGAGAACAATGGAATTGCAGGCACAAGCTGGGATCAGGGACAGGATGTGGGCGGTCCTTTCCAAGGACATTTGTCACATCCCACCTGACCGTGTCTCACAGACACTTGAATGGCACGGGAGGAGGGAAATCCTGTATTTTACTTTTCTTGTCCCTGTAGAAGAGAGAAGTAAGGAAGAAAGCAAGTAAGAATGAGTGTTAAGTGAGCCAGCCTAGAGTTTCTGACACAATTATTAATGCTTGTTTTTATAGAAACAATACGTGGACAGAATTAAACATTCAAATTGCACTAAAAGCATGTGACTGACAAAAATGACCAGCCCATCACACCACACCTGTCCACTTGCTGGCTCGGCTTTATGGAGGCACTCACATCCCCTTCTTCAGGGGCTAACTTTGCTCACCCTCATGGCCCAGTGCCTAGAACAGTGTCTGCCACATGGTAGGCATTTTACAAACTATGAGTTGAATACTGAGTTGATCAAGATTTCTAAATAATATGCTTATACTATTACTACTCCATGAGACATTTTTGACATGAGCTGTTGAGAGTCTGTATGACAGATAAGGATTTAGTCCTTATCTGTGACCCCCGTTTCACTCTCTGTATTTTCCCTCTCTCTCAACCTCCACCCCCTCCTCATCTCTCCACTTGGGTATAGAAAAATTTGGGTAAAACTAATAGTCTGTTATAAAATTAATAATTTGCTATGGCTATGGCTATGTAATGTTATGCACTGCAGAGGCAATAGCAGTATACTGTGGGTTTTTTTTTTCTGGTCCTACTTTTGTTATTCTTAAAGTTGGCTTTAAAAATTTGCTTCATTGTCCAGGTACAGTAGTCCCCAATTATCTGTGGTGCCACTTTCCACAGTTTCAGTCACCTCCTGCCCCGTCAATTGTGGTTCAAGAAGGTCAGTAGTAGCCTAATGCTACATCACATGTCTATGTCATTCACCTCAGTCCATCTCACCACATGGGTATTTTATCATCTCACTTCATCACAAGAACAAGAAGAGTGAGTATGGTATAGTATAGTAAGGTATTTTGAGAGGGAGAACATATTCACATATCTTTTATTATAGTACATTGTTATAACTGTTTTATTTTATTATTTGTTATTGTCAGTCTCTTGCTGTGTCTAATTTATGAATTAAAGTTAATCATAGGCATGTATGCATAGGAAAAACAAAGTATAAAGAAGATTCGGTAATATCTGTGGTTTCAGGCATCCACTGGGGGTCTTGGAGCATATCTCCCCCTAAGGGGGGAGGACTATACCAATCCTTATTTTTTGTTTTTAAAAAATGCCCTATTAGACCTGTCAAATGCATAAAGACATTCTTTCTAAGGTGCTTCATCCCAGCAGAGAACCTGTCAGTTTCTGTCCTGGCACCTCCAGCTCATGCTTGTCGTCCAGGCTGGCCTGCCCCATTGAGACCACCTTTAACCTATTTCTTGTACTGACCCCCCCCTTCTTCCTTGATGCAAATATTGCTGTTTCTTGGTTTATTCTGTTGTTTTCCTAGCTTACGTACATCAGTGGCTTCTAAAAAAGAATGTGGTGTGTGTGCACACGTGTAAATTCGGTACAGGTCTTCAAAAGTGCTCCTTCCACTCTCTCCATGTGTTTCACTTTGAAGTGGGAATAAAATATGACTGAAAGAAATTTCTCCTCCTTGTTTTGAGCACAATCTTGTTAATCTCGCATTGGGAAGATTACTATATTTGCTCCCCCATG